AGATTCTCCACATGTGTTTTGACTTTCTTTGTGCAAGCATGGCTTCCAACTGGATAGTCTGTCTTAACTTTGTGTGAGTGCTTTCTTGACATACCATGTAAGTCTGAGAGACCTGCTGTGGTGTTTTTGTGTGTGTGTGAATGTTTTAATGTTTTTTTCCAAAGGGAAAAAAAATCTGAAGATGGGGGAAGGGGAGAAAATTGTAAATTTTGTTTATTATTGTTTAAATAAATATTTAACATTATTTCCATGGTTTAGTGAAGCTAACTGGATATTGGAATAAGGGACGTTAATGCCCTAGAGGATCAAATATTCATGTATCCTTACAATACATTGAGAGAGCTAGTCCATTTTAACACAGTTAACATCTAGAGGGCCAGATCTGCAGCTGGTTAAATCAGCATAGTTCCATTGAGCTGGCCCATCAACTTTAAAGCATAGAAACTTTATTTAATCCTAATAGAAATGCAGCTGTGTTAGTCTGGTGTAGCTGAAACAAAATACAGGACTATGTAGCACTTTAAAGACTAACAAGATGGTTTATTAAAGCTCATCATCTAATAAACCATCTTGTTAGTCTTTAAAGTGCTACATAGTCCTGTATTTTATTTAATCCTGTGTAGTTTATTTTGATAAATTGACACTCATTCCTGTAAAAGTATTTCACAAAGGCACTTTAAATGTTCTGCATGCTGGAGACAGGTCACTGAGATGGGGGAATCTCTGGAACCTTTGAGGCAGAGTATACTTTTGCTTGGCATGTTGCTTAAAAAAGAAGAAAGTGCCATGATGAATGACCACAACGGTGTCCTTCCAAGAGGATTGGGGTGGAGAGTTAGAGGAAGCAAACAGACAGGAATCACAGGCATTTTCAATTCCTTTTGCATCCTGTATTCTATGTGTCCTATTTGAGTTGAGGAAGCTTTGTCATCAGAGCAGTTACAGGAAGGGAGGTGACTCCCTGAAAGACCAAGAGTCAAATATAGACCAAGAGTCAAATATATGAGTAGGGGTTATTTTTAAAGGTTGGCGTGAGTAGCAGTTGCTCAGTATCTTTGGGAATACAGACAATAGGTCAGGTTTGGGTTCCAGTTTATATAGGAGTAACTCTATTGAAATCATTGGGGTTACATTGGTGTAAATAAGAGCAGAATCAGATCCATATCCTACAAATGTGTCCTCCGCAAAGAGTATTTTGGAAAGGAAGAAGTTTAAACAAAGTGATGCCATTTTAACAGACGATCTACCTACAAAGATTCCGTTCCTCCCCCCCCACACACACACACACACATACACATCTAGAAGGGCTGAATCACTCTCTTGTATCATATCAGTCTCTGCACGGGTGGAGTTTTATGTTTACTGTACAGCTGGACAATTTATCAGAGCGGATGCATTTAGCTAGAAAACCTGTCTGTGTACTGCACTGCATGATTACACAATGTGGAATGCTCTCATTTGAAATTCAGTTGGCAGTTGCTTAGCACCACTTTATTGGATCACATTTAAACCAGTGTATGTTCAGGGCTACCTGTCGTTGCGATGTGCATCAAGCAATTATTTACTACTATCATTTGGAAACAATCCATCAGGCGGCAGCCTGTTGTTACAGCATAACAATTAGTAAATTAATCAAAATAATAATATTTTGCATTTCTGTAGCACCTGTTATCAAGGAACATTTTTGCAAAACATTTATAAACTAAGTAAGCCACATAACTCTCCTATGAGGTAGGTAAGTATTTGTATACAATTTACACATGGGTTAAATAAGGATTACGTAGTTTCCCCATTGTTGTACATTGAATTAGTGTCACAACAAATAATAATAAAAAAGGGAGAGTTGAGATCTCCAAGTGATTTGTTCTGAAGACTAGGATTCCCTCCTTCTTTATCTTGGTAGAAGGTTTACCTTATCGTCTCTATTTTTAAAAATACAGGGAAAGCCCCGGAGAATTCATTGTGCAAAGGCCATGGGAATATTGATAAACTATTGTCAAGTGTCGTAGGCTCAAGATAAGATTTATTTTTGCCATTTGAGGTCAAAATAATTGGAGGTGTGCATGTCTCAGAGACATGAACAAGTTTGAATGTACACAAATGACGATACAAGACCTGACCTTTATAAACTCAAAAAAACTCTCCATGTTTATGTAACAGTATTTTTCTTTAAATTTCTCGGTGAGAGAAACTTCACCAGTCCAATAGGCCTTTCTCTTGACTTCAATGGGCTTTGACTTAGCTTCTCGCTGACAGTTCCCAATGTTGGCTCTTTTCTAGTCATAAGAATGTTGTTACTGAGCTTTTTCTCTTTGTTTTGACCACCCACAGTTTAGGTTGGCAGGTATAACAGGTTTGACTCTCACCTCTTACGTTTACTACAAAAGTCCTCAAATCATCTGGTTACATCTTCTTAGGTTGGGTGGTTTTTGTTTGTTTTTTAATCATAAAAGTGAAGGACTCTCTGATTTCTGTGACTGCCTCAATAAAACGACATCCTCACTTATCCCACAGTTCATGCCCATCACAAGTCAGAAATGTGAGGATTTTCAAAAACACTCAGAATTGGTTTAGCTATGCTCCCATTAATGAAATTGAGTTAGTGAGAAGCCAATGCTGAGAGCTTTTGAAAATCCCACCTTCAGAATGCAATGAAATGTGCCTTGTGTTTCTTAATTTGAGAACCACATTTTCCAGGACATGTCATTTTTATTCCATTTTAGTATTCTTTCATTTTGAAAACTTGAAAAGAATCATTGCTGTTTTCAAAACTTTAAGTTCATATGCTGAACATATGGACATGTAAAATGACCCAATTTCAGAAATAATTTCTGGAATCTCTGTTTTGGACCATTGGTGACTGTGTGCATTGAAGAGATCCAGGGCATGAATGATTTTCAGAAATAACACCCTTACACTGGCTCTCTAGCTGCTTCATGAATTTGCAAAATTCTTGCCAAACCCTTCATCCTCTAGAAAAATAAAATTAAATGGCTAGATTGGAAATGTAAGAGATTAGCAATAAAATGCTGAGAAGGAGGAGGTATAAAAAGACACTATATTCTTCCTGACCAACCATGGAATGGCATGAGAGGGGATGTCTTGTGGTCTGGTCATGACACTGCAAACATACAAGGCTAAAAGGGTAGCCTGTCTTGTTAAGAGCCAGAGACATGAGTATGTCTTTCAGGATTCTTTCCAAATAAAATAAAATGAAATCCAGGAAAGAGTTCATGGTTCTATTTTTTCACCCTTCTATTGGCAGAGAACCAAACCAAAACTTTATAAAACTGCTTCAGAGAAGTAGCCAAATTAGTCTGCAACTGGAAAAGCTTGAAATCAACAAATAGTCTTGCATGTAGATGGTATTGTGAGCTTTCATGGGCACAGCCCACTTCATCTGAGGCAGTGGGTTGTGCTCACCAAAGCTCATGATACCAACTACGTTTTTTGTTAGTCTTGAAGGTGCTGCCAGACTATTTGTTATTTTTTAAGTTTTATAAAACTTCTCTCTCCAGTAGTTGTATGTTCTAAGGGATCAGACATGGGGTCTTTACTCAGTTTTTACTCAGGGAAACCTCAGGCAAGAGTCAATTATATAGGGCCTGACCGTTGTTGTAAGCTACAGAATGTGACTTTGTGGACCTTTAACTTTGGCCTTCGGTTTGATGTATTACTAAACGTTCATAATTTGACAGGAGATAGGTTTCAACAGGGCTGCTTCTCCCCATCGACTACACAGGTGAGTTAGTTGGAGCAGGGGAATGGGTGAAGTGCAGCAGCTGAAGTGGCACAGAGGGAGAAGTAATCCGGACCTGATAAATGGCTGGTACACCTGGCTTTCTTCCTGAAGCAAGATAGCCAAATAGTGATTCCATCACTCACAAGTTAGATTCTGGTTTGCCCCTAGAGCAGCACGGTGATATGTTGCCCTTTGGCCAGGTCTATACTTGGAGATGTTTGAATCAAGATACACAACTCCAGCTACCTTGATTTGAACTTTGGTGCCATCCCCACAGCGGGAGAACAAAGGGAGAAACGCTCCCATTAACTTCCCTTATTCCTCACAAGGAGTAGGAGTACTGGTGCCGAAAGGGGCAACCTCAGCATTTGATTTAATAGGTCCTTACTAAACTTACTAAATTAAATGCTAGCAGATCAGTCTCTGAAGTATCAATCTGTGGGTAAGTATAGACGTGGCCTTACTTATGACTTGCAGTAACTCCACAGTCAAGCCCTCCATTCTTGGAAGTAATTGGAGAATATAAACTAATATTCAAATGTCAGTCTCTGAACTATGCAGAATACTTAAAACATTGTTACCCTCTTACCAATTCATTGCTACCTGACAGGCTATGGCACTAATTCTTAATAGTTTTGTAGTTTTAATTATTTTCATTTAATTCCACACTCTATTGGGAAGTAACAGCCCTACACTAAAGTGGATTAATTAGCAGGAATATTCATGAGACGCACAGGTCTCTCCTCTTTTCTTATGGGGCTTTGTCCTGCTCCTTTTAAGGTCAATAGAAATTCTTTCATCAAAGGCAGGCCCATGATTAAAATGATGGAATACATAACATTCTCTGGGACTATATTTATTGTTTCTCCAGTGCTTCTCAACAGAGTCTGCTCAGCTTTGTGAATTGCAATCCCGTGCTCCATCTCCAGTTTACCAGATTTTATACCTTTGCTATGGGCTTTCTACTAATCCATAGTTACCCATAAATCCCTCTCTCCCACATGGCTATATTCTGAGCAGCTGACCTTTCTTCAAAAGAACTGATGTACCTTCATCATTAATATCCATGAATTCTGTGTACCATCCACTCTAATATGGTTACTGCAAATTGTGTCAGCAGTTCTGTTTTGTAAAAATATCATATTAAGCTTCTAGTTGCTTAACAATGCTACACATGAACAGTATTTTACAACCCTAAAAAAGTAGAGCTTTACTTTTTTGTTTGCCAAGCAGCGTTATAATGCCATAGAGAGTGTGCTCTGAGGACTGATTGACAGGAAATGAATGGGGTTCCAACAGAATTTGACAAAATGAGGATATAAATGGGTATGAATCAATAATATACTCTGTACCTTTAAATTCTGTCAAGTTGGCTATGGCATTATAGATCCATGACTTGATAATCCAACCCTGGCTGCATATCTATAAAACACTAAAGAAGGCTACTGGGGAGAAATTAGAATAAACATGGTACAAGACCTCAATAACAATAATTAATTTATATATATAATAAGATATGACTCAGCCATAACAATTGCTTTTTTGGAGCAGTCCTGCTTTGAACTAATTTAAACATTACTGAATGATTTCACTGATTGTTTTTAAGAGCTGGCTATGATTTAAAGCCATAACCTTAAACTTTGCTAAAATTCCCTAATATATTTGCTCATTTAAGGCTATGAAAAGCCATTTGAAAAAAAAAAGAACCTATAAATTCCTGGAGATTCTTTTATTTTATTTGTTTTTAACAGTATCACATTGTGAGAAGAGAATTTTAGATTTCAAAACAGAGCTGCGAGGCTGATCTTTATGCTTCATGTTATCCATCAAGTATGTGTTATTGCTGATATTGCAAACTGCAATTCCTAGATCTATTTGGTGATTGAACCACTGTACGGTATTGCCTTTGCTAAGAGAGTCACATCAGAAACCAGACATGGTGCCAATAAGCAGGCTGAGGCTTTACACTGAACCATTTATTTAAAAATGTTGGATTAACAAGTCATTTTGAGAGAGCTTTTTATGCTTGAAATACTCTACTTTGCTTTCCATTTTTTTCTTTTATCTGCTTTCTTTGCTCTTCCCCTTGGAGGTAGTGAAAGTGGTCGGAGCACGCCAAGCTTATCCATGTATTCAGACAGCAAGTCTTCGCCGTCTGCCTATCAGCAGGCCCCTAGGCATTTCCATATTCCAGGTAGGCATTCACTGCATAGCTTTTAATCTTCAACTTGTGGCATGTGTTCATTTTCTCCTCAATTGTCAATGGACTTTGCATGGCTTTCTGAACTGTAGAACAACAATAACAAAAAAAACCTTATTTCTTCTGAAGAGTGAAAATATGTTAGCTGTTAAACATGATCTCAGAAGTGAATGAATTACCCTCTTAACATTTTTCCATGTCTAAACAAGTTTGCACTAGGAGAAGCCCAAAGAGACAACTTTATGTTAATTCTTGAAGATGTAGTTGTCTTTAAATGTTACTGCTGGTTGCACAGGCCTGTTGAATTTATGGATGTGCTGTTAGGCTGAATTTTTAAGTACCCATCTACTACATGAACTTTTGGGTATGGAGCCATATATCCCTTTAGGATTGATGAAAAATTTTGGGCAGCCATGCAGCTCAGAATGTTGTAAGTGTGTACTAATAAGAAATTTTGCATTGTATTATAATAGCAGTTGCTACACATTACAATTAATGAATGATCTCTGCTCAAGTGATTTTTTTTTCTGAGAATAAACAAAAGAAGCACAGTCTAAACTGCTTGCTTACTCTTTTGTTCTTACTTTTTTCTTTCCTCTTTCTCAGACACTGGAGTAAAAGATAACATCTATAGGAAACCCCCTATCTACAGACAGCATGGTACAGTCTGCTTTTCTCTGCTGCACTATTTTCTACTCATGCCCTTGTTAAGGAAGTGCATATTTACCATTGAACTACTTGTGGTATCATGTTCTCATTTAATTGTGCCAGAATCCCAATTATCTAAAAAGGAAAAGAAGTAACACAGAAAATTGATAAATCAGCATAACATGAAGTCTGAAGACTCAGTAAGTGGCTGGAATAGGAATGTCTCGCTGTGAATTATTAATTTAAAGCTAATACTGATTTAAAGCAATTTGCTTATTATCAGAATGACTCAGTAGTATGTTAAATATATTATATTGCTATCCTGTTTTCAGGTGATCCTGGGGAATATCTAAATTTTAAGGTAATTCTTGCTTCTACTTTACACCAAAAAATAAAGTTTTAAGTTCATTGATGTATGATGCATATTGAATAGCCATCTTTCATCTGCAAGATTTTTTTACTTTATCAAAATCTTAGAATAAGTCTTAATGAGGTTATATCTGTTGAGGACATCTTCCTTTTTAATGGCTGTGACCTGACTAAAGATGGCTTCTGATCTGCACCATACAATTGGAACTGAATGGGCAGACCCAATTGCAAGATTGGCACCTAAATCCCTAAACAACAGAACTCTACAGAAAATGCTTTTGTGGCACGTAGTAATCTGACACGACACATCACTTTAAAAAAAAGAACTTGTATAAATCATGTGTGCTTCAAATGAAGACGTAAAATAGAAAATTTCATAATGGTACCAGATACCATCATGAAAAACTGCTAAAAATAGCAGCCAATATTTATTTCAATATGTATAGAAACTGTAAATGTGTGAAGTAAAATCCAGGTATCAGCTTCTGAAAATTCAAGACCCAGCTTAAAATGACAGTATTTTATAGTTCACAAGTACTACAGCTAGTTAAGTACCACAAAAATGATATTTTTAAGTAGAGTTTGTAGTCTTCTGTTCTTCTATTTTTCATGCTGTGTCTACACTTGTGTATGTTGATTTCCAGAGCCAGTGCCTGCTATGCATTTACTTGAACTCTAACAGTTTTCTTGGCTAAATCTATTATTTAGAGTTCCCAACCTCCAGTTAGGGATGTGATAGTGTACACGGTTACACAGCCTCCTGCCCTATCCCTTCCTGCCCATGCTGCTGCCTCTGTATCAGAGGCAGCAGAGCGGTGTGGGGGAGACAGATTCCACAGGAGCTGGTGCTGGTGGGGAGCCAATTTGAAAGCTGACTTCCTATGCACCAGCTCCCAGCAAGCTACGCATGTGTAAACATGTAACCGCTGAAATTTTCAGAAGCAAATCAGGGTGTGACTGTCTTTTTTCAAGTCACAATTTGGGTTCATGGTTCTATTTAAGATTTTTGATTAACTTTTATACTGTCAAAAGTAGGGTGTTCTATTGTACCAGTCATTGACTTTTTTTTTTAATTACCTATGTTTCTTTTCATGGAGGGCATTGACTCTTCCAATCTGGATGGTGTCCAGTATCAGACCTTACTGATTTATGGCTGTGGAGAATGAAAATAAATAAGGGTTTCTGTCTGGCTGCTGTTGATTCATAGATTTCAAGGTCAGAAGAGTGTGATCATCTAGTCTGGCCTCCTGCAAAACACAAGCCATACAACTCCCCCAAATTCATTCATTTTGAACTAAGGTGTATATTGTTTTTAAAAACTCCAATCAAGATTTAAAAATTGCCCATGCTAAAGAATCTGCCACAATCTTTGGTAAATTGCTCCAACTGTAGGTGCAATTATTCTCACCAATAAACATTTCTCTTATTTCAAGTCTCAATTTGTCCCCATGGTGGAATTGACAGACTTTGATCAAGTTACCCCTGAGCTAAATATATTGAGTTTTTCAAAACTATCATCGTCAGGTATATTTCTAACCTTTTAATCTTTCCATGGCTCTTATCTGTGCCCTCTTCAAATGTTTCAACATCCTTCTTGACTTGTAGACACTAGAACAGAGTTGTCCAGCAGCAGTCACACCAGTGTCAAATAGAGAAGTAAAAATCCCTCTGTTCCCTTACTCAAGATTTCCCCCCTTTATGCATCCAAGGTTTGTGTTAGCCCTTTTAGCCACAGTCTCATACTAGGAATTCATGTTCAGCTAATTATCCACCATGAACCCGACATCTTTTTCACAAGTCACTGCTTCTTAGGAATAGAGTCTCCCACCCTCCATTAGTTTTTCATAGAGGTACACATGTATCTTATAGCCATATTAAAATGCACTCTGTTTGCTTATGCCCAGTTTCTCAAGCTACCCAGATCGGACTGAATAAGTGACCTCTTTTTTTCATTATTTACCACTCCTCCCATCTTGGTATTGTCTGCAAACTTGATCAGTGGTGATTTTATGGCTCATTAACAAAAATGGTAATGTAGGGCCAAGAACCCTTTTGTGAGACCCAACTAGAAATAACCCACCGGATAATGATTTCTTATATAGATACCTATCAGGCAGTTTGTAATCTTTTTAATGTGTGCCATTACCATTCTGCATCTTTCTTCTTTTTTATTCAAAATATTGTGTGGCACAAAATAAAATGCGTTGCAGAAGTCTAAGCATATTGTATCAGCACTATTACATTTATCAGTCAAACTGAGATTAATTACAGTGAGTCAGCATGCACACATTCTCCATAACCAAACTTTCTGATGCTAGGCAATTGCATAAACAGGTTTAAATCATTGACATTTAAATAGCCCCTGAGACTGTTCTGGTTAAGCTTCAGAACAAAGCAAGCTCCAGTAGCGCTTTAATATTCTTTATTGTTTGGACTTTGATAGATGTTTTCAGCTCACAGTATCTGCATTGCACATACTAAGGTCACCTCAGTGTCAATTAGATGGAATCCATTTATTTGAGCTCTTGGCTTTAGGATAAATAGCAAACATTAAAGTCTATCCAAAGCCTTTAATTTCTCCTTCTCTGCAGAGCTACAAATCATTGATAATAAATAGTCAAACAAAGCTAAAAAGCTACTGACAAGGCAAAAAAGTCTGAATCTTTGGAGTGAATTTTGGGAAAATCACAAGCAAAATGCAAAGCCAAATTCTTTGCTGGTGTAAATTGGCATAGCTTCATTGATTTTGGTGGATCATCAGTTTACTCCAGCTGAGGATCTGTCCCTAACATCCTGGTCCATGAGCATGTCATCCTTAATTATTTTATAGCTGCCTCTGGTTACTAAGGGCATGCTACGCTACCCATCAGATCGATGGGCAGCAATTGATTCAGCAGGGGGCGATTTATCACTTCTAGTATAGAGGTGATAAATCGACTGCCGAGTGCTCTCCCATTGACTCTGGTACTCCATTGGAATGAGAAGCACAGGAAGAGTCTATGGGAGAGCAACTGCCATCAACTCAACATAGTGAAGATACTATTGTAAGCAGATCTAAGTAAGTCAACTGCTGCTACGTTAGTCATGCATCTGAAGTTGCATAACTTAGATCAGTGGCCCAAGGTAGTGTAGACCAGGCCTAAAAATGACTCTGAAAAAGGGTGTTTTTCTTCTTGGCCATATGTTTTCTGGGTCAGCTTTCATGCTGACATTCACAACTAAGAGCCAGGTTCATCTCTTTCACTTTTATTCTGGTATAACTATATTGACGTCAGCAAAAATGAGCAGTCCTGTGGCACCTTAGAAACTAACAAATCAGCTCTCACCCCCTAACATCCTTACTTTACTTATGCTACATTGATGACATCATCATATGGACCCACGGGAAAAAGACCCTTGAAGAATTTCACAAAGATTTCACAAGCTTCCACCCTACTATCAACCTCAGCCTATATCAGTCCACAAAAGAAATCCACTTCCTTGACATTACAATACAATTAAATGATGGACAAATTTCTACCACCCTATACCAGAAACCTACAGACCGCTACACTTACTTTCATGCCTCTAGCTTCCATCCCAGACACATTTCCCAATCTACTGTTTACAGACAAGTCTTAAGATATAACCGGATTTGCTCCAATCCCACAGACAGAGATAAACATCTACAGGATCTATGCAGAGCATTCTTAAAACTGAAATACCCACCTGGAATAGTGAAAAAACAGATTGACAGGGCCAAAAAAGTACCCAGACATGAACTGCTTCAAGACAGACCCAAAAGAGAAAACAAAAGAATTCCACTTGTCATTACCACAACTTAAACCCCTCCAACGCATTATCCACAATTTACAACCTATCTTGGAAAATGACCCCTTACTGTCAGAGACCTTGGGGAAAAGGCCTATTCTCGCTTACAGACAGCTCCCTAACCTGAAATAAATCCTTTCCGGTAACCACACTACACAGCTACATCATAAGCATCCAGGAACCCACCCCTACAATCAACCCCAGTGCCAACTCTGCCCGCACATCTATACAAGCGATTTCATCACTGGACCCAACCACATCAGCCACCAAATCAGAGGCTTAATTAACTGCACATCCAGTAATGTGATCTATAGCATCACATGCCAGCAATGATGCACTGTAATATATATTGGACAAACTGAACAGTCCCTACGAGAAAGAATTAATGAACACAAATCAGATATCCGAAAAGGCAACACACAAAAACATGTTGGGGAACACTTTAAACTCCCTGGATACTCATTAACGGATCTCCAAGTTGCTGTTTTGTTTCATACCAATTCCACAGGCCAAATACACAGAGAAGGACTGGAACTCCACTTCATTCTCAAGGTTAACTCTCATGAGAATGGTTTAAATCGCGATATCGGTTGGCTCACACATTATCAATTAACCAAAGAATGAAGGTGCCAATGGTTCTTGATGTCTGTGTAGAATCTGGTGTTAGTACTCTTCCTTTCCTAATGCAAACTAATGGTTCTTATCAGCCTCTTTTAACTATTTAGTCTTTAAGATGCTAATAGACTATTTGTTGTTTTTTAAGTTTTTCCTGTTACAGACTGGCTCAGCTAACCCTTTGAAACTTATCTACCCAATGTCCTCTTTTTTCCCCT